CCCCCCCCCCCCCCAGTCTATCTACATTTTTTTTACCCTACCAAAACTGCATTTGGTGATTCATATGAAGAACAATCCTTGCATTAAGCCATAAAAAAAAAAAATTGACTGTGTGTCTATGTTTTTGTGACAGACGCATTTTCATGGAGAGATGGAGACTGACTCATCTTGTACATGATGCTGTGGGTGTCACAATGACGTGGGCTGTTTTCCACAAATATGTACTGAAAAATAGTGCAATAACAAATATAATAAATATATATTGTAACAAAAAAATGAGGCTTCAACGCTGCTAAAAATATGTACATACAAAATATTAATACAAAATAAGATTTGGGGTTTGATGTTTGATTGATGCTATATATATATATATATATATATATGAATTTAATGTGCACATATGTAATTAATGCATTCACATGTCAAATTAGTGGAGTTTTATTCATTCAAGCACACAAGTGTCACTAAACAGAAGCACCTTCAGTTTTGAGTCTATTTCAGATGTAAGAACCTTTGTGTGTAGAAAATGAGTGTTTGGGCAAAACAGCATATTAAGTACAATTTTAAGAGAATATATGTTTACTGAGAGGGACGTTGCTGACTCATGCAGCCTCACAGCGTAACCACGGTGACACGTTGCTCTGAGCGACTGCAATGTTCGGCTGCTCCTGGCATCACAGAAGCGAGCGTGTCATTGCTGCTCACTGCCGAGCACCTGAGTGACATCTCGCACAAACAGACGCATAACGCGTTCTGTCGGCTTTTGCTTCCTCTCCGTGTTACCATGGAGACAGGATTAGATTAGAGGGCTGTGGTCTAATGGAGCACACAACTCTGTACCTGAATCCAAAATCAGGATTCGCAAAAATCACTACATGCCACTTTTGTCCAAAAACACTTTGTGAGTGCAAAAACATGCATCTTATCCATTATACACCTTGCAATTCAGTTCAGGTGCTTAATGCGCTGATATAATAATTAGTGCATAATTATTGTCATTCATTTCAGGGCAAAGGTGTCTTCGTTTTATGTAAATTTGCAATAAATTGAGGTGCACAAAAAGTGCTATGTGCCTGGTGCAATTCATTTGGCGAAGCTACTGTAGACGAGCTGAAGGGAGTATTACACTGTAAAAAATGATTGTATGAAGTTGTAAAAAGAAAAAAAAAGATTATTGGAGTATGTTTTTTTGTTTTAAAAGATAATACAATTTAAGTCATTCTACATAGTTAAATCACTTGTCACTTGCTGTTTTATTGTTGTGACCATTTCTGAATGAAACTTGTTCCTTCTTTTAATTGAAGTACTTTAAAATGAATGCCATTTATTACATTTTTAAACAACATGTCTTTACAATTTAAATATATGTATAAACTTAATTCCCTCTTAAATATTTTGTCTGACTTGATTTAATTTTGAGTATATTTGATCTAGAGTGGAATCAATATTTTTGTGTAGCACAATATAGGTGTCACAATGACGTGGTCTGTTTTCCACAAATATGTACTGAAAAATATTGCAATAAATACATATAATAAATATATATTGTAATAAAAATGAAGCTTCAATGCTGCTAAAAATATGGATATACATAATCTAAAAAATATGAATACAGAAATTTTGGGGCTTGATATTTTCATGATGCTTTTAAATAAATAAATAAATAAATAAATATGTTTTAAAATAAAAGTTATGTTTTAAAATAAAATACATTTTATTATATTAATTCTACTTAATTCAATGTGTTTTTAGAATTTATATAACTTTATAATTTATTCATATAACTTTATAATTAATTGTGACATTTACTAGCAATTCCTGAATGGAAATTGTTTCCACACTTCTTTTTTTTTTCCCAGTGGGGATTTGGCAGAAAAATTCAGAAGAAAAAACTGCTTTCAGCCAATATATAATGCAAAAAAAAAATAAAAATAAAAACATACATTTGAATGATGGTGGGTGGGTGTTTGAGTATGTAAAAAAAAAAAGAAAAAATAATAATAATAATATATATATATATATATATATATATATAAAAATATAAATATATTTTTCATTATTTATTAAATATATTAAAGAAAAATATACAAGATGTTCCACATGATGTCATTTCATATATAATTTAAAATCATCATGCAAATATCAAGCACCAAATGTTAAACATGGAATAAATTTAACATGCACATACGTAATTAATGCGTTCACGTCAAATTAGTGGAACAAGCTAAGGGGAGTTTTATTCATTCAAGTGCAAGTGTCAATAAACAGAAGCACCTTCAGTTTTCAATGTCTTTCAGATGTAAGAACCTTTGTGTGAAGGAAATGAGTGTTTAGGCAAAACAGCACATTAAGTACAATTTTAAGAGAATATGTTTACTGAGAGGGACGTTGCTGACTCATGCAGCCTCACAGCGCAACCACAGCGACACGTTGCTCTGAGCGACTGCAATGTTCGTCTGCTCCTGGCATCACAGAAGCGAGCGTGTCATTGCCGAGCACCTGAGTGACATCTCGCTCACAGACGCATAACGCGTTCTGTCGGCTTTTGCTTCCTCTCTGTGTTACCATGGAGACGTGACACAGAGGTCTGTGGTCTAATGGAGCACGCAATTCTGTCCAAAATCAGGATTCACACAAATCACTACATGTCACTTTTGTCCAAAAACACTTTGTGTGTAATATTTCAGTGCAAAAACATGCCTCTTATCCATTACACACATTGCAATTCAGTTCAGGTGCTAAATGCGCTGCTATAATTATTAGTGCATAATTATTGTCATTAATTTCAAGGCAAAGGCGCCTTCTTTTTATGTAAATTAGTTTAACAATAAATTGCGGTTCACAAAAAGGGCTATTTTCCTGGTGCGGTTCATTTGGTGAACCTTGATGAGCCCAAGGCAGTTTTACACAGCAAAAAATTATTTTATGAAGTAGTGTTAAAAAAAAAAGACTATTGGAGTATGTTTTAAAAGAAAATACTATTTTAGTCATTTTACTTAACTAAACGTGTCACTTGCTGTTTCTTTGTAATTAATTGTGACATTTACTAGCAATTTCTGAATGCAAATAGTTTCTTCACCTTTGTTTATTTACATATATATATATATATTAAAAATTAAATAAAAATAATAATAATAATAATTTTTAAACAACATGTCTTCACAATTTAAATACATGTATAAACGAGTCAAACATTTGACCACTGCATTTAATCATCACATTTGGAAGTCCTTAGCATTTACACAAACATGCAAATGCAAATAATTCACTCTTAAATATTTTTTCTGACTTGATTTAATTTGAGTATATTAGATATGAGTGGAATTAATATTTTTGTGGAGCACAACAGAATAATGCCTACAAAAAAGATGCAAGAGAAAAAAAAAAACCAAGCTTGCGTACAAACATAACTTATCATCTAACACTGGCACCCAATTTCAGCGCTGTCGAGGCACCTGCCATTCTCCTGCCTCACCCTGCCCTGCATATTCAATCTATCTGAGAACCAGCCCTCTCTACCTGACATGATTTAAAGTCCTTATTTCCATTAACCTGAGAGGGGAGAGAGTGACAGAACGAGAGAGAAAGAGAGAGAGCAGGATGACTTCATCTCATATTGAAGGATAAATGGAAGGACAAGATAAAAAAAAAATCTCCTGCATAAAGTGGTAAATTGGGATCTTGCAGGTGCATAATATCTGAGCATCAATACGCCTCTGAGATGCATGCTTTTCATTATACCTGAATTGGCCAACACACACACACACACACACACACTAGCACAAACAGTCTCTCTCATCATATGGAGATTAAATTGCCCCTGGGAGAGAGCGAATAGGGAAAAGGAGAACACAAAGAGAAAATATCCCACAAGATAATAAAGTCATAGTACGCAGTACGCTGCAAAAAACAAGCCGCAGAGCTGTTCTAAAAATGAGAAAGTCAAAGTATTACCATCGTACATCTATTGCCCTCTTTTCTTACATTTCACCCTCTCAGTCTTGCAGAGTTTCATTAGACGCTGATTAGCATTTAAACACACAGTGCTCTGGAACTAAAGTTTCTCTTGTCTTGTTTCTTGTTCTCATGTCGCCAGACTTAAAGTCAGCATAAAGTTTCTTGTGGTGTATTCAGGCCAAAAGCCTATCAGAAGGGGCCAAGTGACCAAGTGACCAATCACAGTTTGTTTAATGTGACAACCAATTAGTCTGGACATAATGATTTCAGCCCAATATTGCATTTTTTATGTGCAATAAGCATCCTGGTCTGATTGACAAAAGTGCAGAATTGATGGACTTTAATCAGAACAGGTCAAGTTATAATCAATGTAGCGAAATAAAAAAATAAAATGCAGCTAAATGTTCCCTCACTACCAAACAAACAGTACAATTAGCCCTAACAATTAAACAGTGATGAACAGCAGCCTATTTACACTACTGTTCAAAGTTTGGGGTCAGTAATTGATTTACTTTTTAAAATAACTGTTTTCTATGTTAATATATTTTGAAAATGTAATTGATTCATGTGATGGCAAAGATGAATTTTCTGCAGCCATTATTTGAGTCTTCAGTGTCATTTGAAGAGGAATCATTATAATATGCTGATTTGGTGCTCAAGAAACATTTTATATGTTGAAAATGGTTATGTTTGTAGAAACATTGATACTGTATGGTATTTTTTTTTAGTTAAAAGGAAAATCATTTACTTGAAATAGAAATCTTCTGTAGCATTATTAATATTTTTACTGTCACTTTTACTGTCACAATTTAATGCATGCTTGCTGAATAAAAGCATTAAATAAATGCACTGACAAACTAACTTTTGAATAAAAGTGTATTTCATTTGTTTATTGTATAATTCAAATCGGCTATGTACCTTTCTGTTGTAACTGATCTGGTTTATTGTATTTTTAAGGTATTATTGACAAACTTTAAAACACTCTGTCATTCTATCTATATCAGTTTTACATTTTCAGTGCTGTTGCATCTGGTTTCTATGACAGAAACCAAAATTCTAGATTTTAGCCAAGATTCTAAAGCTCTTTATAATTTTAATGCGCTGTATGATTACAGAAGACTTTATGGCATCTGACAGCACAAGATGTATGACTCTGACATAAGTTTGGCTATGGAAGCATATAATTGAATGCTGAAGTAAACCAAAGCTCTTCTGGGACATTGATAAGTACTCTCCACAAGTTCCGTCCATTTTGTTGGCAGCGGTCTGGAAATCTGCTGTGTACATAATCATTTTCATGAGTTCAAGATGAAATGATTCCCCATCTCTGTTTATAGAGATCAATACTCACATTAGGACACATTAAGAGTCAATAATTGAGTTTATGGCCAGAAAATATAATTAAAGACTGTGACCAGGTTACAGAGAAAGTGTATAAAAACCATCATTAAATTAAATGCATTCAGCGAAATAAAATAACTTAATTCCTACATCTGTTGCAGGATTTGTTTGGTGTGTAGACAAATGCACAGATCAGCAATAGCATGTTAAGAATACGATACTGATCTCCCAGTAACATTTCCACTTTGAGTACAAGGGGTTTAGGGTTTTAACTTTTTTTAATAAACCAAAATTGCAGCTGTACGTCAGTGGATGCGTCTCACGAGCGGGAAAACATCAGAGCGTGCTGGGGAGAATATTGCCGCTGTTGCTTTCCACAACTGATGACAACCGCAGCGATCACTCAGCAAAACATTAATAATAACAAATTCAAGCTCTGGATCTGCACTTATTATAACTCGCACAAGTGAAATGCACTTCTGCTTGACAATTGCAGAGGCAGTACTAGATACATCCCTGGCACAAGCTGATATTGTGGAAAATGGTGGGGATGTAGGTTTCCCTTTCAGCCAGAGATCTATGCAACTGCTAAGATATTTAAATGAGTATTTCTATAACTCAAATGGTAGAGCATGGCACTAGCAAAGTTAGTTTGATTCAGCTAAAAAATTATACCTTGAATTCAGTGCAAGTCACTTTTGATAAAAACATCTACCTAATGCATAAAAATGTAAAATGTTAACACAGACTGTGGTATATTCATAGAGTCACATGCATTTGTGCGAGCACAGTGGTAAGTACAAATGCTCATGATATTAAAGAGCAGTCCATTTTCTGTCCAGTTTCCTGTCTATTCTCTACTGTCCTACACTCTTAAAAGTACAATTCTTATCAATAAAACATTAATTGAAAAAATAAAACATCATGAGTTGCATGGGCATGTCAGATTTCTTACACAGCAATGATACCACATTACTTTTACAAATATTTGTAAATGTTAATGTGCCATTATAACCATTTTTAAGTCTCATAAACAAGTGTGTTTGTCTCTTACATGAAGTTTATCGGAGATAAATATCTGCACATATATCTGGTCTGAAGCATCTGACTAAATCAACAACAGACCGGGTGAATGAGTGTAACAGTGATGTCATCGCAAACAAAGATAATGCACTTTTTACAAGCATTCACTGTAAATACTTTTTTAAGATGTATTGTTTTGTTTTTTGTCTTTAATGGGACAGGACACTATAAATAATTGACAGAAGGCAAAGTGGGAGAGAGAGTAGGAAAGAATCGCACAACTGTGCTATATCTCGAAGCGCTGCCCACAAGGCTATTGACTCCAACTTAAACTACCAATTTACTATAATTTTAACCAGATGGTAAAATTAATTCACTCAAGAAACATCTCTAAAGTGATGGAGTAACACTACAATAAGGTTTAGTTGGTTAACATCAGTTAAATGCATTAGGTATTATAAACACTTTTACAAACCAGATTAATTACAAACCAAAGATGCATACAAAAAGCAAAATTAAATTACACAAGAAAGAAATAAAATACACCACCATTCAGAACTCAGAGGTCAATTAATCTGTTTTGAAAGAAATTAATACTTCAATTCAGGATGCATTAAATTGATCAAAAGTGACTATAAAGACATGTACAATGTTACAGACTTCTATTTCAAATAAACGCTGTTCATTTGAACTTTTTATTCATCAAAGAATCCTGAAAAAATATATCACTGTTTCCACAAAACTTTTAAGCAGCACAACTATGTTCAACATTAATAATCATTAGAAACGTATCTTGAGCACCACATTGGTATGATTTCTGAAGGATCATGTAACACTGAAAACTGGAGTAATGGCTGCTGAAAATTCAGCTTAGCCCTAACAGAATAAATTGCATTTTAAAATATATTAAAATAGAAAATAGTCATTTTAAATTGTAATAATATTTCAAAATATTACTTATTTTACTGTATTTTTGATTAAATAAATGCATTCTTTCAAAAAGATAAAAAATGACAACTTTTAGAATGGTAGTGTACACTGACAGATGTTTTTTTTAGTATATGTAGAAACTGAGATAACCCAAATTAATAATTGCTGCAAAATTATTGTTTACTGTTAGAGTTTGATACCTAATGCAATGTAAATCAATTGAAATTTTATTGTAAAGTATTACCCAGAATGCTATATTAAATTTACTGCAAAATTATTTTGAATATTATCTACGAAGTCATCCTGGTCATTGTATAGACTGTCTAGTAAAATTCTGTAACTGCACTTGGTTATAAATTTTAAAGACATTTTACAACCATCTGATTTTTACCAGATGTTTTAAGGATGTTTATGGTAACATAAGCTCTAAGAGATCTTTAACAATAAAGTATGCTGTAGAAACACACTGTTGACTGTATAGTAAACTTGTGTGCAGAATTCAGTAGTCGTGTAGGCTCTTTTATTCTAACGAACCGTAAAAGTGTTTACTGTGGCAGGACTAATAGAAGGGTCGTGTGATGTAGCTTTAACTCACTTGAATCCCGGCGCCACTGTGGCACAGTTCCCCGCACTCAGCCAGATGCAGTAAGGGTCTCGTGAGGACAGACAGCTCCTAAAACACACACACACACACGCACACGCACACACACACACACACACACACACACACACACACACACAGAGTTAACTCATAGCACATGTGCTGGAAAGGCTGTGTGTGTTTTCTCGCTCACTGTCTCCATACTCCCCTGCCCCCCCCCACCAAATTTCCCTTTACCCTCTCTCTCCAAGTGTATGAGACAAGCTGGAAGGGACAGCCAGACACAGCATCTCCATAACAAAGCATTATTGCCTCTCGCTGGTCAGACACTCAGTCAGACTGAGAGCAAAAAAATAAGAGAGAGAGAAAGAGTGTGACTGACTGCTGTATAGTCAGGTGTGTGTGTGTTTGTGTGTGTATTTGTGTTGCATGATTGACAGGTGTGTTGTGTTTGCCAGAGGCCAACTGAGATTCAGATACATGGTAGAGCCGGCGAGTCGCTCGGAGAAACAGAGAGCGAGAGAGATACAGATGGGGAGAGAGACGGAAAGAGAACGAAAGACAGAAAAGAAAAGACAAAAAAGAAAAGACAAAAAAAAGCATGTGTGAGGTGACTAGATGCGAGTCAGAGTGAAAGAGAGAGGTCACTTTCATTTTTCTGCTATTTTTTCCTCCTCACAGGTTGTTAATTTCCCCATGCTATGCCTGTTGGTCGCTATGCTTTAGCACTTTATCTATTGTTAAAGGTTATATACTTAAATACTTTCTCTTATCCCAGTTTAAATGAAAAAATGAAAGCAAAAATAGAGTTGAGTCACTTTTAGTCTATTTGGTTTAAAGTCATCTATATGCTAATGACCTACTAAAAATTGACAAAAATATTACTTGAACTATAATTTGGCTATACTATCCACCTTATTTTTAAGTCCAATTTTTAACTGGAATGTGCAAAGCTTTCAATGTCAGCACATGGCAGTTATTTTAGTTTACAGTCTGTTATGCTGTTTGATGTTGTAAACTCCCATTATTCATTGTATTTTAGTAGTAGTTAGTTATTTATTTGTATTGCCATGTCAGCATCTAAGGCTATCTTCATGGCAAAAACAGAGTTGGAATAATACAAGAGTTACAAACAAAAAATAAATCCAAAATAAACACAAAAATACAACAAGGTAAAATTATACAATATTTTTTAAATTAACATATGATGATAAAAAAATCTAAAATCTTTTCAGGTAAAATCTTACTGAAGTCCCTAAGTGAGCGTACTTAAAGTTTTCTATTTGCATTAAAACTGGGACAGTGAGTAAAACTGGAAATGGGAGTCTTGCAGAACATGCTTAGAGTTGGGTCTTCTTCATCATATTTTAATTTATTAGCTTAATCATTAACACACTGGTTTGTAGTGCAAATAGTTTTATCGTTGATTGTATTTTGTTATTCTACAAATGGTTTAGTATAGTGGCTAATAACGAAATATGCACATTCACAAGAATTATCTTATATCCGCATTGAAAAAAAGGATATTTTTATAAACAATTAACCAGACGAACATGTTTAAAATTCAGTCTTTCTCTTCTGGGAGAACTGACAAAAAAAACAAAAACTTATGACTCATCCTGCACTGCTCTGATTTTTGTCCAATCAAATGTTCTTTAGAACGAGAATGTCCCACCCCCTAAAACCACCTGCAGCCAACTAGCAAATAGCATTAGTTAGCCAACTACTGGCTCACAAACCCTTTGATATCTCCCACACAAACGTCCAGTTTCAACAGGATATACATAAACATAGGGACTGTAATTTTCTTTCAAAATACATAAACAACTCTAAGTATCATGTTTGTAGCTTGATTTCCTTGAAAAAGTGAAAATGTGTCACTGTCACATCGTGACCAGCCTGACATGGCAACAGTGGCTCAACCATTAGTGTGAGTTTGGGGCGGGGCTATCTGTTTGAACGACCAATAGCAGATAGTTTGGGGAAACCTGTTAAAAAAAACATTATTTTTGCAAATAATGTTTGATGATGCACAGAAATTACACAGTGTTAAACTTTGAATACAGGATGGCAAAAAAAAGAGCTTTTTGACTTCTTTTGTTCTTTTAGATAAAAAAAAACCTCTTTGAATTTAAACAAACACAGCTGTTTTTGCATCTAGCACTCGGTGCATGAAAACAATCCTGTGAGTGAAAAAACAGAGAGAGAGAGACAGAGAAAAAAAGAGATGTTTTCTCACAAGTCCACAGAGAATCCCGTGTGAGTGTTTCTCCTGAGGCTGAGCAGGCATGAGCTAACAGATTGGTAAAAAGTTAAGACATGGCTGGATCAGACATCAGGATGGTTTTTGGAAAGAAATTGGGACTGAAATTCCCTGATAGGATTTGGAGATCTTTTATAAGGAAACACAGTCTATCAGCATGTTCAAACTACAGCTGTGTGGGAAAAAAAGGAATTGTTTGCTGTGTCTTGGCCTGTGACCAATCAGATGACTCTAATTTGCGTGTGAGTAGTGGAAGCATGTGGTGATGCTGGCTCGAGGACTGCAGCATGTGATGGAGGAAACACGACTTCATCATTGACGACCCATCTCTATAACTTTGAGGCTACAATCTAAAACCTTTTGCCCTCTAAAATCCATCTGTGTTTAAATTTGAATGCATTTAAGAATGCCTGTCTTTGGAAACACATACCGCTTTCAGCGCACTTACGGAGAACTTTATCCATAATAGATCAAAAGCGAACCAGCACATAGGACTTTTTAGAAGATTCTTGCACGACTGTCATACATTTTTCTCTGAGGACTGAGCTGCTGCACTGCATCGTGAATAGAGTTTGTGATGCTGGTTCTATCTTCAATAAATGTTTTAAACTACTCTACGATAGTAACACTTATGAGTTTACGTGATTAAAATAGTAAAAGATATTTAAAGATGTAGTACAGCATTGTATATGTTAAGTGCTCTCACATGTAATACATATTTAATGGTAATGATTGTGGGTCTGGGTTTTGTGTCACTCACTTTTTGCAGATGCCGTAGTCAGAACAGCGACTGAGTGGAACGCGGATCACGCAACTTGAGAACGCCACAAATAGGGCATGATGATCCTTGTCCAACTCCAATCCCAGAATCCTCCGGTCCTCACCAAGCACATCACACCTGAGGAGAGAAATGGTGGTTTGTGTTGGTATGCCATTTTTATGCCAATTATTAAAGAGGGTTCAAAAGTACCATATATGTACATAAACATTATTACTAATAAAGTTTATGTTTAGAATTGTATGCAATTCATACTACTTCCATAAGAATGCAATAGGCATATTTTCTGAATGCATGGAATAACTGAATTATCCTGTAAATTTCACAAAATGTGCTGTATACAACAAAAGTACGGTGCATTGAATACTGTATCCCATAATGCAATGCAAAATGTGACCTTCAATTTGTAGTGTGACACAAAACCGAAAGCAATTTCAGCTATAATTGTAAACTTGTAAGCAACAGGTTATTTATACACTGAACAAAATTATAAACGCAACACTTTTGTTTTTGCCCCCATTTTTCATGAGCTGAACTCAAAGATCTAAGACTTTTTCTATGTACACAAAAGGCCTATTTCTCTCAAATATTGTTCACAAATCTGTCTAAATCTGTGTTAGTGAGCACTTCTCCTTTGCCGAGATAATCCATCCACCTCACAGGTGTGGCATATCAAGATGCTGATTA